TGGACCGTGGTTACTTCCTGTGCTGGCTGAAGCTGGACCGTGGTCACCTCCTGTGCTGGCTGGAGCTGGACCGTGGTTACTTCTGGGGCTGGCCGGAGGGACTGGAGCTGCACCCCACTCACTTCCTGTGGCCCTGCCTCCCCACCCCCCACATTCTGCAGAACGATGAGGCTCTGCGCTGCCCCGCTGGCCCCTGCGCTGGCCGCTCCCTGCACCCCTAGACCCCCAGGGCCTGGCAGCCAGACCACTCCCGCCCCCTGGCTGGCTTTCCCCACTGCCCGCGGGCCCTGCCTTGCACGGCCGCTCCCAGCCCCAGCACTGGAGGAGGGCAGCAGGATGAGCTTGGGAGGTGCAGGAGGGGGCGGAGGTGTAGGGGGTTGCACGCTGCTAGGGATCAGCTGGAGGCCCTGGGCAGTTTGCACCAGGAGGAACGTCTGAGAGTTGGGCGCTGCTGGCCCCAAGCTCGGGGCCTGGGCCGTGCCTCCCGCCACCTCGAGGGAGAGCGTGGCCTGGAGGTGGGGCAGTACATGGACATCTTGGGTGGCTGGCGGGGCCCGGGCGGCAGCCAGTGGAGCAGGGGGCTGGGAGCCGGCGGCGGGGGCTGTGGTGCTGGGAGCCGTGTTGGCCGGGGCGTGCGTCCTCAGGTGCCGCTGCAGGTAGGCGGCCATAACGAAGCCGCGACCGCAGATGGGGCAGGTGAAGGGGCGCTCGGCTGAGTGCGTGCGCTGGTGCAGCAGCAGGTTGGAGGAGTGGGTGAAGGTCTTGGGGCAGAGCGGGCAGCGGAAGGGCCGCTCGCCCGTGTGCACACGCTGGTGCTGCCGCAGGTTGGTGCTCTGCGTGAAGCTCTTCCCGCAGACGCCACAGGTGTAGGGCCGCTCGCCAGTGTGCACATGGCGGTGGCGCCGCAGGCTGGACGAGTTCTTGAAGGCCTTGGGGCAGTCCGGGCACGGGTAGGGGCGCTCGCCTGTGTGCTGTCTTAGGTGGTACTGGTAGTGGGACGACCACTTGAAGGCCAGGCCGCACTGGCCGCAGATGAAGGCCCGCAGGCCGGTGTGCACGCTGCGGTGGATCTGCAGCAGGGAGGAGCGCTTGAAGGCCTTGGGGCAGTCGGGGCACTGGTAGGGCCGCTCGCCTGTGTGGCCTCGCTGGTGGTAGAGCAGGGCCGAGGAGCCCTTGAAGGCCTTGGGGCAGTCTGGACACTTGTAGGGCCGCTCGCCTGTGTGCGTGCGCTGGTGGTGCAGAAGCCGGGACGACCACCGGAATGACTTGCCACACTCCCCACACTCGTACTGGGCCGCCGGGGCAGGGGCCGCAGGGCCTGGCTTCTCCCCGGCCCCCTCCGCAGTAGAGGCCGGGGCCATGTCCGCGTGGGAGCCAACCATCACACCTGGGGGAGGGATTCCGGGTCAGGGGCTCACCCCCGCACTGGGTCATCTCAACGCCAAACCCACACACTACCTCCCCGGGTCACCCACTTTGCAGGGGACCTTCCTTAGGATTAGGGTCTCCAGTGGTCCCAGTTTGCTTGGAACCTGAGCAGGTGCCAGCGATGCTGGACTTTCAGTGCTGAAATGGAAACTCCCCAGCAAACTGGTGGTCACCCTCCTTAGGAGGCTGGCCAGGTCTGAGAAGGCGGGGCCCTGCCTTCAAGAGAGCAAGCGCTGCCTTTAGGAGTCTGCTCACTCCCTCTACAGACAGGTAGGGTCCCTGAAGACCACACACAGAGGGGCTCTCCGGGCTCTGCTCCTTGCTGCTCTCCCTCTAAGACTTTATCCTTCGCCTCGGCCTCAACACTCCTCCCACTGCCATACCCTAAACCTCTTCCTGCTAACTAAATCCTCCTCATGGGGCCAGACACGGTGGCTTACGCCTGTAATCAATCCTAGCACTTTGAGAGGCCAAGGCAGGCAGATCACCTGAGATCAGGAATTTGAGACCAGCCTGGCCAATGTGGTGAAACCCTGTCTCTACTAAAAATACAAAAATGAGCCCAGCGTGGTGGCGGGCGCCTGTAATCCCAGCTACTCAGGAGACTGAGGCAGGAGAATTGCTTGAATACAGGAGGTGGAGGTTGCAGTGTGAGCTGAGATCATGCCATTGCACTCCAGCCTGGGCAATAGAGAGAGATTTCGTCTCAAAAAAAAAAAAGTGTCCTCATGGTCTGAGCCTGGAACAACCTACTTCCCACCACCACAAAGCCTTCTAGGTCACTCCCGCTTGGTGCTTCAACTCCCCAAATCCTTAGACTGTAGCCCATCCCCATCTACCACCCAGCCCGCCCTGCCTCCTCCAGCCAGCCCACATCCTCACTCCCGCCTGACCCTGCACAAATGCTGCAGGTGGCCATGACAGGCACCCCCTTGCCTGGCCTTGCCTCAGTCTCACTTTGCCTTCATGCCCATGAAATCTGCAGCCCCCTCACCATCACCCTCCCTGGCTCACACTACATGTCTCTGGTCCATACACTCGCAGGTGTGCTGCTTTCTCCTGAAACCTCCAGCCCCTCCTCTCCCCTCCTGTTCTTGGCAGGCAACCCTGTCCTTGATCATGCCTCTGAAAATAAAGGTTCTCACATTCTGACCACGATACCAGTGGTTCTCAACTGGGACAAATTGTGCCTCTGACCCAGGGGACATCTGGCAGTGTCTGGAGGCATTCTGGGTTATCTGTTAACTAGAGAGGAAAGTGCTCCTGGCATCTGGTGGGCGGAGGCCAGGGATGCTGCTCAACACCCTACAATTCACAGGATGGCCCCGCAGTCGAGAACAATCCCAGCCACGATGTCAACAGTGCGAGGTCCAGAAACCCTGCGTGGTCCTTTCCCACAGGCCTGACCCGGTGCCCATGGACCCTGCCTTCCCACCCACATCCTCCACTTTTCCTCCTCTCCTGGACCATTCCCATCTGCAGAACCAACAATCTATGTCTCCCATCTTTAAAAACCAAAAATCTCTTCACTCCACTTCCCTGTCCAGCTGCGAACTCATTTCTCCATTCCTTCATAGCAGAGCAACTCCAGTGTCAACCCGCTCTTTCCCCGCTCAAACCCCTTCAGTCCCACACTGGTGCCCCCACTCCACCACCACCTCGGTGGTGCACGGCCCGCAGTGGCTCACCTGTCGCTGGGTCCGTGGCCCGCCTCCCCTTGGCCTCCAGGATACCTCGCTCCCTCGCTGTCCTCCTTCACCTGTCACCCCATCTCAGTCCCCAGCCTGGTTCCTTCTCACCTCCCTGACCTCTCGATATGGGAGCACCTGGGGCTCGGGCACCCCTTGGTCCTCTTCTCTCTGTCCTCTCTCCCTGGGAGCCCCCACCCACTCTCAGGACTCCACCATCTACGAACAATGACTCCAGGTCTCCAGCGCTGTGAGACCTACCCTCTGAATACCACACCACCTGCTAGACTGTGCCATCTGAACGCCTCGTGGACACCTCAAACTTAACGTGCCCAAAATCTATAGTCTTTTGCTCCTCGCCCCCAACTTCTACTCCATCCATAGCTTCTCCATCTCTGAAAACGGCAGCGGTCTTCTTCCTCAGGCCAGAGGCTCCTCGCCTCCTCTCGATCACCTCTGTCAGCAGATTCCCCTTCCAGCCGGAACGTATCTGGGATCTGGCCACTTCTCACAGGCCTCCACCTTGATCTGAGGCACTACTGTCTCTCTCCCAGGCAGCTGCAGCAGCCTCCCGACGGATCTCCGTGTTTCCACCCGTGCCCTGCCCACCCTTCTGGTCCCAATACAGCAGCTGAAGTGAACCAGTCAACAGGGAGGGCTGGGCATTGCATTCCTGTGCTCAGAAATCTGCCACAGCCCTGGTCTTCGAGCCTGCTGACTTCCTGCAGGCTGCGGCCTGTCCCCTCCCTGACTTGTCCTCCTGCTGTCCTCACTGGCCACCTACCCCTGGTCACTCTGGTCACCCAGGATAGCCAGGCAGACCTGCTCCCACTTCAGGGTACCTGCCTAGAACCGACCCTTCCTTTCCACCTGTGCCCGCTGCTCTCTTTCGCCTCCGAGTCTTCGCTGAAATCCACTCTGTGAGAGCTTCCCTGACAGCCTTATTGAAATCTACAATCCCTTCCAACTCCCCATTCCCTGTTCCTGCCTTATTTTTTCCCCCACAGCGATGATCACCTTCTAATGTACTGTACAGCCAGGGATTCTCAGCCTCAGAATGGTCTGTGGGGCCAGACCTGTCCTGTGCACTGTAGGGTGTTTAGCAGGATCCCTGGCCCCTGGCCTTGACCCACTGGACGCCTGACATTGGCCTATGAAGCCCTCCTCTACACTGTCCACAAAGCTTACTCCTGCACCTCCAAGTCTTAGCCGCAATGTTGCCCGAGGGGAGCACCGCTGACCCCAGATGAGAACCGCTACTATATAACCAGTATGTTTTCTGTTTCATTCTGTCTCACCATGCTAGAATGTCAACGCTGTGAAAATAGGGGCTTCCGTCTGGTTCACTGTTGTATGCCATCCCAGTGCCTACAATAATGTCCGGCAGAGTGTGTGCTCAGTAAACAAGTTTTAAATGAATGAAGCCTGGGCATCCCCTTCGGACAAGCTATAAGAACTTCTTGGTTTTTTGTTTTGTTTTTTGAGACAGGGTCTCACTCTGTCACCGAGGCTGGAGTGCAGTGGCGTGATCTCGGCTC